TTTGTTTTAGTTTTTTTACATGTGGGGTTTGTTTTGTTATGCCTACCTTTCTAGGTGCCTAACCCCGGTCGATGGCAGATAAGGAAAACCCCAACCACAAAGGGGTTTTCCAGGGCCATTGCTCCCTGAAACCTCTCTGAAGGGGCCAGGTTCTGGCGCTGGTCCCTGGTAGGTCTGAACTCCTTAGCTAATGTCCCGGTCTAATATAACATACATTAGCCCGATAAGCTCCAGGGAGCCTCCGGGGCTCACCCAGAAAATGGCGTTTCATACATTCAACGCTGGTTTTTTTTTTTGCGAGTCCTCAGTAGCTCTCTCAGTTATTGACTTAGTAGTGTCCAAGCCTTATGAATCACACAGGCCATAATGAATGCAGCTCCATTACTGAAATTTAGGACTAAAATGTAGCTTCCTCAAAGAGGCTAAGGATCTGAGGTCTCCATAGTATGAAGAAAAATACTAGTACATGTAACCACTAAAAAGGGAGAGCTTCAAAAGAAGAAACTACATTCGAAACATTTGTAATCCTGAAGCGAAGTATATTAACTATTCTTACTGGAATAAATGCCCTATAGGTGGCCCCTTTGGCATTTAGGGTACCAGACTTGGATGCATTGTTGTACAGGCATACCTCAGAATACGAGTTTAATCCGTTCCTGGAGACGCCTCGCCTTCCGAAAACTCGCATTCCGAAGTTAATTTCCCCATAAGAAATAAAGGGAAATGAATTAATCCGTTCCTGACTACCCCAAAAACCCCACATCAAACTAAATTTTTATACCTAATTTACCTAATTCATCTAAATAAACCTACAAAACTATGTTCCAGTTATTACTTACCTTGCTGTCGAGTGCTGTAGGCGTATGGAAGATGGTGAGGAGGGGGAGGAGGAGAGGAGTTACTGTTTGGAAGGGGAGTCCCCTTCCATAATCACATCAGGCAGTGAGGACCTTTCTGGTGTGCTCTCCCTGGGACGTTTAACCTGAGTGCCACTAGGTCCTGGTTGAGGCTCACTGCTCGATTTCCTCACCACAAATCTGTCCATGGAAGCTTGCTTTTCCCTTCTTCGCAAGCTGTCTCTGTAGTAAGGCATCACATTGTCATTGAAAAGATTAAGACAACGGCCTACTACAGCTTTCTCTGGGTGAGTCTGTTCAATAGTTGTTTGAATCTCTTCCCACATCTGACACACCTTCTTAATTACTGCAGAAGGGACATTCGCTGGTGCTGTTGGTGCTGCTGCCACCTCCTCCTCCACTGCAGAATCATTCGCTGCTGTGTTGGCTTGCTGTTCCTGTTGAAGGGCTAGGAGTTCTTCGGTGGTCAGTTCTTCGTTGTGTTCTTCCACCAACTCCTCCACATCATCACCATCCAATTTCAAGCCCATTTGCTGGCCTAGACTAACAATTTCCTCAACAATAGGCGCATCATTTATAGGCTCAAACCCCTCAAAGTCTAGTTCTCTCACACCTTCAGGCCACAATTTTCTCCAGCCAGAGATCAGGGTTCTTTGAGTCACTTCTTGCCAGGCTTTGTCAACGAGTTTTAAAGCACTACAAATGTTAAAATGCTCTCTCCAGAACTCTTTGAGGGTGAGGTTTGTGGCTTCAGTCACTTCAAAACATTTCCGGAAAAGTGCCCTTTCATACAGTTTCTTAAAATTCGCTATGATTTTCTGGTCCATAGGCTGAATTAGAGGAGTGGTGTTAGGAGGAAGGAATTTAACTGTGAGGAATTTATTGTATTTAGGCAACAAATCATCTTCCAAGCCTGGAGGATGAGCAGGAGCATTGTCAAGGAGAAGCACGGCTTTGAGTGGCAATTGTTTCTCCTGCAGATATTTTTCTATGGCAGGGCACAGCACTTCATTCACCCACTCCGAAAAAATAAGCCTAGTCACCCATGCTTTTTTATTAGACTTCCACATCACACACAAATGGGTTTTCTGCACATTATACTGTTTGAAAACCCTTGGATTTTCAGAATGATACACTAGCAAGGGTTTAATTTTCAAATCGCCACTCGCATTTCCACACAGCACAAGCGTAAACCTATCTTTCATAGGCTTGTGTCCAGGCAAGGATTTTTCCTCCTTGGTAATGTATGTCCTCTTAGGCATTCTTTTCCAAAACAGTCCTGTTTCATCACAATTAAACACTTGTTGCGGTAGGTATCCCCCAGTCTCTGCAAACTCTTTAAATTCGTCAATAAATCGTCCAGCGGCTGGTTAGTCTGAGCTGGCTGCCTCCCCATGCCTTGTAACACTATGGATACCACTTCTCTTTCTAAATTTTTCAAACCAGCCCCTGCTTGCCTTAAACTCTTTCTTATCTGCATCACTCGTTGCAGGGGTCTTCTTTAGAAGGTCTTCGTGCAACACCCTGGCTTTCTCACAAATAATGGCCTCCGAAACACTATCACCCCTCAGCTCCTTGTCGTGTATCCAAATTAATAACAACTTTTCCACTTCTTCAAGTATTTGTGGTCTTTGTGCCGTTAATGTTCTTACTCCTTTTGCCACATTAGCACCCATAATCTTATTTTTTTTCTTAAGTATAGTGCATATTGTTGATGTGGCTTTGTTGTACTGCCTACAAAGTTCAACAACACGTGTACCGTTCTCATGCTTCCGAATGATCTCTTGTTTCTCCTCTATTGTCATCCTCACATGAGCTTTCTGGCCTTTATCCCTACCACTGGCTTTCTTGGGACTCATGGTGAGATATATAATAACAAATTGTATAGACAAATCACCAAAAATCCAACAAAACACTGAAAATCCGCGAGAAGAATTGATGTGGGGGTAGTCACTGAGCGCGAGACAATGGTAAACTGAGGGGCAGCGGGGCAGAGGGGCGACGATCGCCGAACCACCACGCGCTAGGTCGGCCTGTACGCGTATCAACAAACTCGCGTCCCGAAGTAACCATCGCCTTCCGAGACAAATTTTTGGAGTAAATACTGCTCGCCTTCCGAAAACCTCGCATACAGGGACAATCGCATTCCGAGGTACCACTGTATTCCATCTCGTCTAAGTTTGTCCCCTCCTCGTCCTCTCCCTGCTGGTGTGGTTCAACCAGTATTTGATCTTTTCCCTTAGGCTGAATCTAGAACAAAACAGGCAAAACATAGAAAATTGCGTGTGAAGCAGAACGCCAACATCCTGGGAAAGAGCGGTGGCAAACAGGCAAGCATGAAGGGGCTCAAAACGGAAACTCCACCAACACCTGAAGCATGCTTGCAACCTCATGCCACTTAAGTGTAAGGGTCTGGTAAAAACTGCTCCAGGATTTATGAGAGAACAAAGGATTGATTGTCCACTATCTAGGACGACTCCGGAACCTCATAACACACCCAATAGGGGGGGAAGAGGACCCAAATTCAAAAGAGGCCAGGTCCATCGGAGAGACATAAATGGGGTTACACAGGAGGCATGTAAAAAAATGCCTCACGAGCCTCTGAAGGGGAAACCCGCAAGGAAAGAAACCTCTGGAAGAATTTCCCCCAGTGTACTCAAAGACAACCAGAAGTGAACCTCAAATCCAACTCATACAGGGGGGGGGGGGGGTAATATGAAAATCTCTCCCCCACGAAGGAACCACGAAGGGTCAAAGGGGACACACAGCCCCAGTTTAGACTCTCCCCCATTCCCTGGAAACTGCAGTCAAGTGTCCTAGGGCAGAGCCATCATTCACACCGACTGCCCAGAAAAGACAGGCGGAGTTCAGGGGTCAGCTGGCAAGAAGGCCTAGAAGCCTTAGCGAGACCTAGGGGCTCAACTATTTTCACACTCGAATCAGAATGAGCAATCCCCGGAGCCGCCCAAGCTGCATCCTGAACTAAATCCTGTGCCAGACCTGAACCCTGAAATGTTTCGGGGCCAGAAGCAGGAAGGAAAGACTAGAGGGAGAGTGACACATGCCCGATAGGGAAGGAAGAGGTGTGGACGGAGCCAAGAATTGAGCAACACCTCCCAATTCAGGTCCTTAAAAACCAAGTGGGATAGCTTCAGAGCTGTCCCACTTGTCCTTCTAAACAGGTAGAATCTAGACTGCTGTAACACAGAAAATGTCTCATGCAGAGCGGTTGCTGCCTGATCAGCCCAAGCATCATCAGGAGGGCTAGTAAGAAAAGCAATGTGACGGGAGCACTCCTCACACGACTCTGGGTTAAAGGTGTCACCGATCCAACAGGCAGCATGGCAGAGGCAGAATGAACAAACATCACTACGTGGCATTGACAATGTACATCCCTCAAGCACTCATAAAGCAAAAGCGGGCTCGTGGAAAACATCCATGACCTGCGAGGCCACAAGGAATTACCATGGCCTGAAGGGTACAATCCAAACAGGGCACCCAGGCACTAGGACACTACTATGGTACTCTCAAAAAGGGCTATGTAAATTAACTCAGCCTAGCTAAGATGACAGCTGGGAAAACCTACTTCGGCTCGCTGAATTGCCGCACACATAAAACCCAGTGCATCCCATCAGCCAAAATGCTCCAACTGGAAAGAAATGGAAGCCAAAGTCACCATACTCCAAGGCAAAGGCAACAAGCAAGGTGAACCTCTAAAGGAGGATCCCCCGGACACTCCAGGGGGCCATTGTTCTACGTGTCTGATGGCACCTAGTAGATGGCACCCACATCCAAGATGGTAGCTTCAGAAAGCCATAAGTGGCTCTCCCAAGAAAAAGATGTTTCATTACATTCAATGCAGGGTTTTTGCTTTACAGGTTTGTTTACAGCTTTACAGGTAAAGCCCGCCCTTGGTAGGGATACAGCCAAAAAATAGTATTGCCACCTATTTAAGTAGCTAAGGAAGGTTAAGTAGCTGGGTTTTGTATGATATTTTGTAATAGATTTAGTATCAAGGCTTCATACTCAATTGTATAAGTTACCGCATGTAACATATTGCTTATTAAAGTTTTGGTAGTACAGTAGTAATAACAAATTATTGTTTTTTATCGAAACTGTATAACTTGCATTTTCTTCCCATAGGCAATGTGCTCGTATGAGACTCATCCACTTGTCAACAGTTTGGCAATGGCCCACATGCGGCTAGTGTTGGCTGTGGTGGCAGCAGTGTTCTTTTTGACAGGGTGTGTGTGTGCCAGCATTGCCCATGCTCAGTTTAATGGTAAGATTGTGAAGATCCACAATGTTTAGTTATGGCATGCATGTATGTAACTCCTGGAGATACTTTGCTTTCTTAATTTATTAACATTGGGTGTACAGTAATCCCTCACTTGTTGTAAGTTTCATACTTGACAAGTGACTTTTCTGGGGAGAGCCCCTTCGACTCCCGGAGCTATCCAGGCTGATATGTATCTCTTTAGAATTTGGCATCAGTCGATGTGGGTGGAGTTCTAGGTCTGCCAGGGACCATGAGCCAGAACCTGGCCCACCACAGAGAGGCACCAGGAGCAATGGCCTATAGAAATGCACATATGATTTGGAACATTCTATAACTGCCTTCGACCAGGACAGGCACTCAGAAACAAATCCCTATTCTGGTTAAAAACAACAAAAATAGACAAATGAGTGGATAGAGCTCCCCAAATGAAAACGAGCAAATGAGCATGACGTCCACGAGCTGCACTGCATGTCTGTGCAGCTCTCCCCTTCCCGGGAAGGGGAGCCCCAGACTCCTGTGCCGGCGATCCACACCAGTTCGTCGGCTGGTGTGAAATGGCATGGTGTTCGCATCAGTGTGGTCGAGGCATCTTCCGGTATATGTGGCACCCTTCCCCGACTGTGAGGCCATCAGGATTGAAGCCTTTCGGCAGGACTGATCAAGGTGGGGGTTCCTGTACCTCTTTGTCCCTGGTTCAGCTGTTGCTCCAGGTCCTAGCTCACTTGGAGACTTACTAGGGGCGAGTAGTCCTCTTGGCCCCATGGTGGCCAGCCCAGTCTTGGTTTCAGGTAATGGTTGCCTGGTGTCCAACCCCGGGGTTTTTCTGCGGCTCCGCTTCTTTCAACAGATCGGTCTGTTCCGTTATGAGACTGGTTCGCTCTTCCTTGAGTCTTTGCATCTGGTATTTTAGACTCGAGTCTATCACCATCTGTATGGTGATCAGGTGGCTTCCTTGTTAGTGTCCCACCAGTGGGCTTCGTCTCGGTGGCAGTATGAAGTTTCCTGGCGGTACTTCCATTTCTTCTTGCGTCTTCGTCGTTGTCCGTTCTATCGGTCACCCGTTCTTTGTGCTTGTGTCTGCTCCTGTGCGTTCTTGTGTTGCCTTGCGTCACAGGTTGCAGCTTGTTTTCTCGGCTTCGCATTGCAGAGTTTGTGGCGGCCGCCTCCCGAGTCAGCCCTTTCTTTTCCTTCTCTTTGGGTATGAAGCTCCAGGGAGCCGTAGGGGCTCCCCACAGAAAACCAGCGTTGAATGTAATGAAACGCCATTTTCTGGGTGAGCCCTCGGAGGCTCAATGGCAACTCTCCCTCCCACCAGTCGGCGTTTTTTTCATGTTGGTTGAAGCTTAGCTTCCGAACTGATGCTAGGCAGCCGGCACGGTGAAGTTCAGGGCCCCGCCTTCCCCTCTCGGGGCGGGGAGGGCTGTGCGGACGATCAGAGCGGCAGTAAAGTGTGATGTTTGCTTGTTTCCTTGGGAGTGTAGGGAGTTTCTACCTCTATGTTTGGTTTTCTGTTTTAGTTTTTTACCATGTAGGGTTGTTTTGTTATGCCTGCCTTTCTGGGTGCCTAACCCCGGTCGATGGCAGATAAGGAAAACCCCAACCACAAGGGTGTTTTCCAGGGTCATTGCTCCCTGAAGCCTCTCTGAAGGAGCCAGGATCTGGCTCATGGTCCCTGGTAGGTCTGAACTCTATAGCTAATGTCCCGGTCTAATATAATAAACATTAGCACGATAAACTCCAGGGAGCCTCTGGATCTCACCCAGAAAATGGCGTTTCATTACATTCAACGCTGGTTTTTTACATTTAGTTTTGTTAGCCCTCAAACTGAGGGTTAATATTCTGTATCTATCCCTACATACGGATAAAAAAAGTTCTCCAAAATAGGTTTTTTCTTATCACATTGTTTAAACCATCCATGAAGCTCAAATATCGTAAATTGAAGTCTTTATGTACCATGGTTTAGGTGTAGTGGAGTCATGAAGATTACAGTTTCTGTGGGGAGCCCCTACGGCTCCCTGGAGCTATCGGGCTAATATGTGATACATTAGACCAGGGCATTAGTTTATGGAGTGCAGCCTACCAGGGACCACGAGCCAGAACCTGGGCCCCCCTCCCCCCTCAGAGAGGTGCAGGGAGCAATGACCCTGGAAAACCCCCTGTTGTTGGGGGATTTCCTTATCTGCCATCGACCAGAGTTAGGCACCTAGAAAGGTAGGCATAACAAAACAAATTCCACATGGTAAGAAAATTACAACTAAGAACTGAAAAGAGAGGCAGAACTCCCTCCAATCCCCAAAAAACAAGCAAATGTGACACTCCACTGCTGCATCACTTGTCCGTTCAGCCCTCCCATCCTCGAAAGGGGGAGTGGGGAGCTCTGGACCTCCACGCTCCGGCTATCTAGCACTCCAGTTTGTTCGCTAATGTGGTCCAGGGCAGACGTCTTTTCTGGCCTTGAATTCCAAAGTGGTGTTTTGCCTTTGTGGTTACCTCAGCAGTGTTCTTGTGTGTGTGGTGGTCAGATGTCCTCAACAATACTGGGGCTGCATCCTTCCCTAGGCTCCTCGTGAGTACTGCCCTTGCGTGTTAGGGTTCTTCTCCCTGGTGTGTTCGAAAACCCATTTCCGTAGGGGTTTCTTTAGTGGAGCCCTGTTGGCTCCCCGGAGCTATCCAGGCTGATATGCATCTCATTAGAATTTGGCATCAGTCGACGTGGGTGGAGTTCAAGGCCTGCCAGGAACCACGAGCCAGAACCTGGCCCCCTCAGAGAAGCGCAAGGAGCATTGGCCTATAGAAATGCACATGTGATTTGGAGCATTCTACATTCTGCATTTGGAGCATCTGCCATCGACCGGGACAAGCACCCAAAAAGGTAAGCGCCCCAAAACACATCCTATTCTGGTTAAAAACAATGACAATAGACAAACGAGTGGACAGAACTCCCCAAATGAAAACGAGCAAACGAGCATGTCACAAGAACCTTGAAGCATGTCTACGCAGCTACCTCTTCCCAGTAGGGGGAAGGGGAAGCCCAAGACCCCCGCGCTGGCGATCCACATCTCAGTTCTTCGGCTGATGTGATCCGGCATGGTCGTATGGCTCCAGCTCCAGAATCTTGTGTTGTGCTGTCCTATAGTTCAGTACTGCTCTTAGGGTGGCGTTCGAGCTGGGAGTAATATTCACAGGTACTCGGGCTGCATGTGCTTAGAGTCACCTTCCCTGAGTGCCCTGTACGTATCGCCCTTGGGGCTTGGGGTTACCTTCCACAAGTTACTTTGAGTCTACCTCTTTTGGTCTTTTGCTGCTCGGCGATTAACCACCCCGAGTGTTTTGGGGGTTTCCGCCCTTGTTTACCTTGGGGTAAGTAGTAGTTATTGCACTGGTAGGGGTGCAAGGTACTGTGCAGCTAGTTTTTACCTATAACGGCGGCTGGCTCTGTTCCTTCTGGGTACACCGCTTGCGAGGTTTTCCTTTTTTTTGTTTTTGTCTGGTGGTGGGGGGGGGGAGGGTCTGCTTTGGTGTCCCTTCCCCTGTTATACTAGGGGTTTGCTTTTTGTTTGGTGGTACCCCTGCTTCGCCCTCGTGAGTGGATACGTCCCGGGGGTTCAGCATTAGCAGTTTTGTTTGGTAACTTTGGGTGCCAGTTAGCAGTACCCTACCTGGGCTTACCCTTAGCAGTAACAGTCTAGGAGCCTTGGGAAACCCCGCGGGGGCATTCGGGTACGATGGATGCAACTTCTGAGTCTCCTCTCACATTGTGCGAATTGAGGGTTGCTCTGCCCTCTTGTTTCAGGGCGACGCTCATTGTTTTTGCCTCTGTCATGTTGCCTGTTGGGTCTGTGACACCTTCGACCCTGAGTCCTGCGAGCATTGTTGCTTGTTTATGACTCAATTCACCCAATCTACTGATGACGTTCTTCGGGTGCAGGTGGCTCGCACATTGCAGGCTAGATTTAGATTCCTGCTACATGCTAGGTTGGTTGCTTTCCCGGATGTCTCAAGGCTGCCCCATTTTGCTTATAGGGACCCGGACTTTGGGGTGTTGGTCACGTCAGCATTGGTTCAGTCTGCACCCCCATTTTCTTTCCCCTGCTGTGGTTCATTCGGTCCCCCCTCCCCCTTTTTCCGGCTCCTAAGGGTCTGAGGGCTTCGAGATCGGGGCAGGGTTTAGAGGCTTCTGAGACTCGGCGATTTTGGGGGTTGCTTCTTCCGGGGTGGCGACGGAGGTATTCGAGTCTGTTCCTCCAGCCGAAGCTCCGGGGTATGACTAGTGGGCCTCTTCTCTTCCTGCTATTTCGGCACACCCCGACTTTTTCTTGTGGGGCTGGAACTTTGGAGGACGACTCGCCCCCAGGGGTTCCCGGGTTGGGAAGGAGCTAACTTGGGGTCCTTGGACCCCGTTGGACCCCGCCTGGGTTTTCAGGCCCTCCGAGCGGGGCTTACTTTTAGAAGGAGTAGGGTTTTCTTTTACCCCCTCTGTGTACGAGTTGGATTTGGGTTCGGCTCCTCGCCCTGACAGCTGGGTGGACAGCGCTTTGGATTTGTAGTCCTAAGGTTCCGGGTTCAATCCCTGGTGGAGGCAAAGACAAATGGACAAAATGTACCTTTCACCCTGATGCCCCTGATACCTAGCAGTAAATAGGTACCTGGGAGTTAAACAGCTGCTACGGGCTGCTTCCTAGGGGTGTGTGTAACAAAAAGGAGGCCTGGTCGAGGACCAGGCCGCAGGAACCCTAAGCTCCGAAATCATCTCAAGATAACCTCCACGAGTTCGGTTCCATGTCTCTGCGGATCCTTCGGTTCCGTCCTTCCATAGGTTTTCAGCTTCCCGCATCTCGCCCGCTGAGGTGCGGGCAGCCATTGCCGCTTACCTCCTGCGCGTCCCGCAGGAGGTAAGCTGCAGAAAAGGCAGGGTTATGCATCTTTAATGGATCTTTCTTATTCAGGTTTGGATCTTCATCTCCATACTGGGTTCATTATGAGGTTCCAGAGTCGTCCTGGCTTGCAGGCTTCCCTTTGTTGTCGTTGGATGCTTGAGACTCCTTCTGTCGTACCCGCATGCTTGAGTGGAGCGAAGCGTTGATTGTGGTCTAGGTTTACCTGGGGGGTGACTTTTAACACCTTAATGAGTGTCTTTTCGCTCCTGCCCTTCTGCAGGATATTGGCGCTCTTCAATTTCACGTGCAATTTCCTTCCTTGTAGACTGCGCTTGTAGTTGAGTATTTGCGCGCTCGTGGCTTGCTGGCTTTGGTCTTGTGTTTCTTTTCCCTCCGGGAGCTGTCTTCGGATTGGCTTGCAAAGGATGTGGAGGCGCTTGAGGCCGTTCCTGGATCTAATGCCTTGGTCTCTGCTGCTCGTGCGTCGTCTGCGCCTTTGAAGCTGTTTGTTCCGATCCTGCGGGATGCACTGTTGCAGTTTTCTCTGCGCGTCTCGCGTGTCGACGGCGGGGGGGGTGCTTGCTTGCTTCCTCCCTGGAATCCGCATGGGCCCTAGCTCTTAGCTTGTCTTTGCCCTTTTGTCCTTTGCTGTTTGCGGCCTCTGTGGGCGAGCAGTATATGCAGGCGGGGTCTTCCAGCTGCCGTCCGATGTCCGACTTCTTGGTTCTCCAGGGGTTCCGGGGGGGTCCTACCCAGAGGGGTCGTCCCAGGGCTCGGGGTCGTACCGCTCGTCGGGGTAGGCCACAGGTGCCAGTTTTGGAACCGGTACCGCCTTCGGAGTTGTCTGTATCTGGTCGGTGCGGTGCTCACACTCTGCGCAGGTTGGGTTCTCGCAAGGGGCATCAGCCCTTTTGCGGTTCGTCCCATTGACGGGACGATGGGGGAGGCTTGCTCTGTTTGCTCACGCGGAGTCTCACAATTAATGGGCGTTTCGGGGTCGTTTCTCGCAGCCTACGGTGGCGTTGGGTGGCTCCTCCTCCTCTGGGGGTCTTCCTGGCTGGTGGGGCAGGCTTCTTCTCCTGCGCTCTGTCAGGTCATCTCAGAGTGGGCGCACTTGGGCGTGGTCGAAACGACGACGTCTCTCAGGTGGGTTTCCCGCCTGTTTCCCGCTTATTCATTCTGGACTTGTCCTGTCTGACCCTCTGGGTTTCTTGCTCCTCCTTTCGGATGACTACCCTGTCCCAGGTTTAGCTTCTGTTGGAGCCAGGCGCTTGAATGGTGTCCCTGGACCTCACGGACGCTTATTGGCACGTCCCGATTCATCCGGGGTTCAGGGACTGGCTCGGTTTTGTTGTGGGGCGTCAGAGTTACCTCTTTCGTTATCTCCCGTTCGGGTTGAACCTGGCACCTCGCGTTTTCACACGCCTTACCCGGGTCATGGTGGTCCGTCTGCATCTGTTAGGTGTTCAGGTGTTGGCTTACCTCAATGACTGGCTGGTTTGGGTTTCCAGTCAGTCCGCATGCCTGCTTGCCAAGGGTTTGGTGCTATCGCAGCTCGCCGGGTTTGGGTTCCTGGTGAACTGGCAGAAGTCCCATCTGGTTCCCTTCCAGGTTCGGACCTGACTGGGTCGTGTGTGGGACTCTTGGACCGCTTTCTTGTCTTTTCCTCCGGAGTCTTTCCTTCGGCTGCTGTCCAGCATGTGCTTGTTTCTGGGGGGCTCCTGGCTCACTTGGAGGTTGCTGAAGGGTCTGTGTGGGAGCCTGAACTTTGCAATGATGGTCTACCTGTTGGGTTGGGTTTGGCTTCGTCGGCTGTTCTGGTTCCTTTGGGGACATCCCTTCTGCCTCTCTCGCAATTGCTGGGTTCAACCCCCGGGGGCCTTATGTCGTCTGCTACATCGCCGGCTTCCTCTTTGGGTTTTTCAGGGTTCAGTGCCTTGGCACCTACCCGAGCCCTCGCTCGATGTGTTCACAGACGCGTTGTCTCTCAGCTGGGGTTTTGTGACCAGTGCTCACCAGGCCGGCCAGGGGCATTGGGTTCTGTCCTTCTGTTGGGCCCATAGCACGATGCGGGAGTTTGCTGTGATGTGGTTTGCACCTCGGAGGGTTCGGGTCACCTGCGGATTGACGATCCGGCGCCATTCGGACTGCTCCCCGGTGGTTCATTGTCTGAACCGAGGGGATTCAATGCGTTCCTTGGCTCTTTGGTCCTGGTTGCTTCGGGTGATTCGTCTGCCAAGTTCTCTGGGTTTGACTCTCCTGGCAGTTCACGTCCGGAGGGTGTCCAATGTCCTGGCGGACGACCTGTCCCGGTTCTTTCTCTTTTCCACAGAATTGATAGTTGACGCCAACTCGTTCAGTTGGCTCTGTCAGACGTTTGGGCGCCCGGAGGTGTACTTCTTCATGTCAGTGTGGTCTCAGCATCTCCAGGCGTATGTGGCGCCCTTCTCCGACTGTGAGGCCAACGGAGTCGATCCCTTTCGGCAGGACTAGTCGAGATGGGGTTACCTTTACCTCTTTTCCCCGCTTCAGCTGTTGCTTCGGATTCTGACTCGGTTGGAGACTTAGCAGGGAAGAGGTATCTTGTTGGCTTCTTGGTGGCAGGCCCATTCTTGGTTTCTGGAGCTGCGTGCTTGGTGTCCTAACCCGGGGACTTTTCCTCAGCTCCATCTCTTCCAGCAGTCCGGTCTGGTACATGGCTGGTTCGATCGTCTCCTCTGATCTCCGTGTCTGGTCTTTCTGACGCGGGTCTATCACTACTTGTATGGTAATCATGTGGCTTTGTTGATGGTGTCCCACCCAAGTGTTTCGTCTCGGTGGCAGTATGAAGTTTCTTGGCAAGCCTTTTGTCATTTTTCGTCTCTTTGTAAGTTGTCTTTGGTTTCGGCTCGGGTCGTTTTGTCATTTCTCTCTTGGCTGGTTCAGGACCGTCATCTTATGCCAAATACTGTCGCCTCGTATCGTGCGGCATTGGCGGAGCCATTCTATCTTGCGTTCAGGGTGAAGGTTACTTCTGCTCTGTTTCGCAAGCTATCTTGTGCGTTGTTTCATCGCTGGCCTGCTCATGTGCCGCCTGAGCCGTCTTGGTCGTTGGACCCGGGTGCTCTCTTTTCTCTCATCTCCTCGGTTTGTGGTGGCCCGTTCGGTTCGGGATTTTTTTATACGACTTTTTTTTTTCTTGTTGGCATTGGCCTCTGGAAGTCGAGTCGGGGAGCTTCATGGTCTCTTCTGGAGCAAGGGTTTCTGCTCTTTTGTTCTTAGTGGTATGTTTGTTTATTTGTAACCTTCTCCGTCTTTCCTGGTGAAGAACGAAACGGTGGCTTTCTGGAGGGATCCTTGAGTTGTTGAAGCATGGTTGGTTCAGCTGGGGGTGCACCATGTGTTGGTGCATCATCATCTGGTTGTGGCTTATCGCCGTTATTTGTGCGCCACGGCTTCTGTGGCACGGGACGTGCTTTGGATTGACCCATTTTCCCTTCTTTCCTGCCCCAGTGTTCAGGTCACCCAGGTCGTCCTCAAGGTTATTCGGTCCAGCCAGCCTGCGGTCTATCCTCGTGATGCAACGTTCGCATATTTGCTGCTTTAGTTACCATTTTTGGTAATATGTCTTGGGTTGATATTCGGGCTCGAGGGTTTTGGAGGTCGAACAGGGTTCTGGCCGCCCGTTACCTCCTTAATGTTCCTGGTCCTAGTCGAGCGTGTGTCACTTTGTGTCGCAAGTTGCAGCCAGTTGTCTCGACTTCGAGTTGAGGTGCAAGTGGCGGCCACTTCCCGAGTAAGTTCCTCTTTTACTTTTACTTTTACAGAAAACCAGCATTGAATGTAATGAAATGCCATTTTCTGGGTGAGTCCCGGAGGCTCCCCGGCAACTCCCCCTCCCTCCCTCCCTCCAGTCAGCGATATTTTCATTTTTTATATTCAGCCTCTGAACTGGGGTTGGGGTGGCTGGCATGAGGGTCTGGGGCTCCCCCTTCCCCCCCTCCGGGTGATGGAGGAAGCTGTGCAGACAGTAGCCCGGCAGTGGTTGTGACGCCATGCTTCTTTGCTTGTTTTTGGATTGGGGAGTTCTACTTGCTAGTTCAGCTTTCGGTAGTAATTTTGAACCAGGTTCAGTTTGTTTTGGGACACCTACCTTTCTGGGTTCCTAACCCGGTCGATGGCAGACATGGAATGCTTCCAACCTCATGGAGATTTCTATAGGCCATTGCTCCTTGTGCCTCTCCGAAGGGGGAGCCAGGTTCTGGCTCATGGTCCCTGGTAGGCAAGAACTCCCAGAACTCTGGGATTCACCCAGAAAATGACATTTCATTACATTCAATGCTGGTTTTTTCAAGGTGGTGTTTGTTTAATGGAGTCCTGTGGAACAGGTTGAAAGCCCCGTGTACCCACAGGAGTTTTGAACCTTGCAATGTTCTAACAAACATGATAATGTTGGTGTGCGCACCCCTTACATTAATTTGGGGGATCAACGTCCCTGTGGCCCGGTCTCTGACCAGGCCTTCCCATGATACCCTTACCCCATAATATCATAGTGTGTGCAGTACAGGGACTAAGCTAATTGTTAATATCAGTATTTTACACAAATTTCTGCAGTACATAAATTTTTTGTGAGGATATGTTAACAATGCCTAAAATTATGACATTGTTTATTAGAAGGCCAAATATGGCATGATGTGGATGTGATTTTTAAATTCAATCTTTTATGTGTAAAAGGTAAGGATCCAACAAAGTGGTACCCTGATGATGGAGGCTGGGGCTTCCATGTGGCTAGCACAGTGTCGGAGTGGGTGTGTGCTGGCGCCTTCAACCTCTTCATGCTTACTCTTGTAGATGAATTCAAATGCATCTCTATGGACCCTCCACAGGTGGGTACTGTACACTATTTGATATGTTGGGTCTTTAATGAAAAATAATGCATATAAAAATGCACATCATGTATGCTCTCACAGTCTGCTCTATTACCTAAGTGTAATTACAAGAGTATAGGTACAGGATGAAAGCTCGTTGTCATATGATTCTTTGAAACTACTGATGTTTTGGCATCCACCACCTTCTCACGTAACTTATTCCAAATGTCTGCCACCTGGTTTGCAAAAGAGAACATTCTAATGTGTTTTCAACAGCTTTGCTGCCTTAGTTTGAGTCTATGACACCTTATTCTTTGAAGATGCAGATTTCAAGATTTCCTCTTTGTAAATGTGATGGATGCCTGTTACTATTTTGTATGTAAAAATCATATAAATTTCCTTTCCGGGAGGAGCTCCATCGGCTCCCAAAATCTATCATACACAGATCAATACCATACTTTTAGGAGCCATCCGTCACAGAGTTCTATTTGCCTTCCGGGAATCACAGCCAGAACCTAGTCCCGTCAGAGAAGCACAGGGAGCAATGGCCTGTGAACACTTTAAATGTTAAGTTAATCATAATTACCACCACCAGGGAAGGCACCCAGAAAGATGGGTGAAACAAAACAGACCCCTGCACAGTTAAAAAGGGAACCATAGCCCCAAAATAACCAAAAGAACGCCCCCCTACAATGAAAACAAACCTCCAAAATTTCATGAAACTAGTGCTCACTAGTTTGTCCCACCTACCCACTGTTTGGGGGAAAGGATGGTCTCCAGTTTGTCAGTTAGGCTGGTTTGTAAATGTATAGGAGATTGTACATGAGTGTTGGGAACCGGCTGGACTCCCAGCCGGTCCTCGTGTCTGCTCGCCAGGGATTAGGTTCTTTCCCAGCTAGCCGGGTTCGGGTTCCTTGTGAATTATGGGGAGTCCCATCTGGTTCCCTCTCAGGCTCGGTCTTGGCTGGGTCTTATGTGGGATGCTCGAACCGCTTCCTTGTCTTTCCCTCCAGAGGCTCTGCTTCGGCTGCAGTCCTGCCTTAGCCTGTTTCTGAGGGGCTCCTGGGTCACAAGACGGTTGCTCGAAGGTTTGTGCGTGAGCCTGAAATTTGCCATCAAGGTCTATCTGCCGGGTCAGGTTTGGCTTCGTCGGCTGTTCTGGTTCATTCAGGGATGTTTGCTCATTTTCATTTGGGGAGTTCTGTCCACTAGTTTGGCTTTCAGTAGCAATATTTTAACCAGAATAGGGATTTGTTTTGGGGTGCTTACCTGGGTGCCTGACCCAGTCGATGGCAGACATAGAATGTTTCCACCCACATAGGTTTCTGTAGGCCATTGCTCCTCGTGCCTCTCTGAAGGGGGCTGAAAATGAAAGTGGCTTCGGGAATCTCCCTTTCACTGCTCTCGCGATCGTTGGGTTAGATCTCTGAGGGCTTTGCATCAGTTGCTGCATCACCGGCTTCCTCTAACGGTTTTTCGGGGTTCAGTGCCGTGGTGCCTACCTGAGTCCTCGCTCGACGTGTTCACAGATGCCTTGTTTCTTGGCTGGGGCTTTGCGATCAGTGCTGTTTGGCTGTTGCTTCAGAGGGTGCAGGTTGCTTGTGGTTTGACGATCAGACTCCATTTGGACTATACTCTGGTGGTTCCTTATCAGAACCGTGGGGGTTCTCTTCGGTCCTTGGCTCTTTGGGGCAGGTTTCTTTGGGTGACTCGACTATTGTGTTCTCAGGGTTTGGCTCTTCGTGCGGTTCATGTCCTGGGGGGTAGGGAGGGGGGGTGTCCAACGTCCTGGTGAATGGCCTGTCTCGGTTGCTTTCCCTGTCCACGCGTAATGGACAGTCGATGCCTACTCCTCCTGTTTTCTCTGCCAGATGTACGGGCTCCCAGAGGTGGAGTTCTTCGCTTCAGCGTGGTCCCAGGGTCTTCCTGTGTATGTGGTGCCCTTCCCCGACTGCGAGGCTGTTGAGGTGGACGCTTTTTGGCAGAACTGATCGAGGTGGGGTTACCTGTACCTCTTCCCACTGGTTCAGCTGTGTAAGATGGGAAGAAACGTAAAGTAACAGCTGCCGTTTGCAGCTGCTACTTCGGGTCCTGGCTCATTTGGAGATGTCCAAGGGGAGCATAGTCCTGTTGGCCCCTTGGTGGCCGGCCCAGCCTTTGTTTGAGGCACTGCTTGCTCGGTGTCCGAACCCGCGGTTCCGCCTTTTTCTTCCAGCAGATCAAACCAGTTCTGTATGTGGCTGGTTCGATCTTCTCCGATCTTTACGTCTGTTTTTTTCTGAAGAGGGTCTATCACCATTTGTGTTCAGGACCGTCTTTTGATGCCGAGTACTGATGCCTCATATCGTGCGGCACTGGCAGAGCAACTTTTGCTTGCATTCAGGGGGAGGTTACTTCCGCTCCGTTCCGCAAGCTTTTCTTGTGCGTTGTTTCACCTCCTGCCTGCTCCTGCGCCGACTAAGCTGTCTTGGTCTTTGGACCAGGTGCTCTCCTTTGTCTTTTCTTGGTTTGTGGTGGGCTCTTTGGTTTCGGATAGTTTTACTCTGCTCTTTTTTTCCTGTTGGCTTTGGTTTCTGGGGGTTGGGTCGGGGAGCTTCATGCTCTTCTCTGCCCCAGGAGTTTCTGCTCTTTTGGTCCTGGTGGTAGGTTTGTTCGTTTGCAGCTGTCTCCTTTTCTGGCGAAGAACTGGACGGCGGCTTTCAGGAAGGGTCCTTGGGTTGTTGATGCTTGGTTGGTTAGGCCGGGGGGGGGGGGGGCATCAGGTGTTGTGTAAGGTTGTGGTTCTTCGCTGTTATTTGCGTGCCACGGCGTTGGTGGCAGGGAACACAATTTGGGTTGACCCGGTTTCCCTTCCCTGTTCCAGGGCGCGGGTCTCCCAGGTCATCCACAGGGTTATTCGGTCCAGCCAGCCTGTAGTTTATCCTCGTGCCCATGATGTTCTGTAATTTGCTGCTTTAGCTGCCGTTTTTGGTAATATGTCTTGGGCTGACATTTGGGCATTAAGAATTTGGAGGTCGAACAGGGTCTTGGTCACCCATTACCTTGTTAATGTTCCTTGCCCCTAGTCGAGCGTGAGTTGCTTGCAGTCGAAGGTTGCAGCAAGTTGTCTCGACTTCGAGTTTAGGTGCGTGTGGCGTCTGCCTCCCGAGTAAGTCCCTTTTTTCCTTTTCTGTGGTTAGGTAGCACCAGGAACCGAAGGGGCTTTCCACAGAAAACCAGCGTTGAATGTAATGAAAGATGAAAGGCCATTTTCTGGGTGAGTCCCGGAAGCTCCCCGGCAACTCTCCCTCCCTCCAGTCGGCAATACTCACATTTTTTTATATTCAGCCTTTGAACTGGGGTTGGATGGCCGGTGCGGGGGTCTAGGGGTTCCCCTTCCCCCTCCCAAGGAGGGGGAGAGCTGCGCAGACAGTGGCATGGCGGCGGTTGTGATGTCATACTTGTTTGCTTGTTTTTTAGATTGTGGAGTTCTGCTTGATAGTTCGGCTTTCGGTAGCAATTTTGAACCAGGTGGTTCATAATTGTTCTCTGCCATGGGGCCCTCTTCTGTGGTTTCTAGGGCTTGGGGGAAGTCGTAGTGGAGCTCTTGGGTTCCATTTGACCCTTTGTGGGCCCTCATGCCTTTTGCAAAGGTTCTTTTTGTTGCAAGGGTAGGGGGTTTTCTTATTCCCCTTCCCTGTATGAGTTTGATTTGGGTGTGGCTCCCCCAGGGTTCATTTCCATGTTCCTTTGGGTTCTACGGATTCGTCCTTCCAGATGTTTCCTTCCTCCTGTGTTTCCTCGGCGGAGGCTCGGGAAGCCATTGTTGTTTACCTCCTGCATAACCCGGTTTATGCCTCGGTTTTGGATCCGGTCTCTCTTGACTTTGGATCTTCCTTTCCTCATTGAGTGCATTACAAGGTTCTGGGTCATCCTGGCTGGTGGACTTTTCTTTGTTTATTCTTGGGGCTTGGCGTGTGTTTTTGCCGTACCTGCACACTTGATTGGCTGGAGGTGTTGACTGTGTTGTTGGTGTTTCTGGGGGGTTCTCTTGAGCCTCTCAATGCATGCCTCTTCACTCCTGCTCTTCCTTGTGACATGGGTCTTGTGCAGCTGCATGTTTGTGTTTCCTTCTGTCTGCAGCTTTGGTCGTCAGTGACCTTCGTATTCATTCACACTTGGTTTCTGTCATGCATTTCTTAGGTCTCCTGGAGCATCTTCCTGATTTTGCTCTTGGAGAGTGTTAAGATGCTAGGTGAGGTTCCTCTTGTAGGGGTTTTGGTCTCTGTGGCTTCAGCACCTGCTGCCATGCTTTAGTTGTATGCTCTGATTATCCAAGAAGCAGTCTACTTGTTTTATGCCTCCCTTCTTAAGTGTCGACAACCAATGCTGGCCAGGTCTCTGGACCCGGCATGGGCTCTGGCTATCACTTGGACTTTGCCGTTTTGTTCTTTGCTGTTACCTGAGGATATTGTGCTTCAGTTTTTGTCTGTGGCTGCTGTTGGTTGCTGTCCTGTTTTGGATTTGTTATGTATTTGGTGGAGGGGTTGGTCTTGACTTTCTCACCAGTTTGGTAGGGCCAGAGTGTCAGCTCCTGTTGGTCGAGGTGAGATCTTCTGTGGTACCGGCAGCTGGGTTGGATTCATCTCCACAAGCCTCGTCTTTGTCTGGTCGGTGCTGTGTTCACTGCTTGAAAAGCTGGCACTTTTGGTTCGTGCTGGCCCTTTTGTGGGGCTTCCTTTTGATGGGACAGTAGGTGGGGAGCTAGTCTGTTTTGCCAGCTCATGGTCCCATAATTTGTGGGCTTTTCAGGTTGTGTCTTGCAGCCTTTGGTGGGTTTGGTCAGTCCCTTCCCTTGGGGTTTGGGGCTGTCAGGGGGGGGGGGGGAAGGTCTCTTCTGCTTGCCTTCATTGAGTCGTCTCGTAGTGGAAGGTTACGGGTGTGGTCAAACAACTTCATCTCGTCGGTAGGTTTCCCGCCTATTTCTGGTCTCAAAATGAAATTGTTCAGACCTCTAGTTCATACTCGATCTTTCCCGA